AACTTGAAATTGGTGCAGAGAGGAAGGGAGGATAAATCCTTCGTGCTGTCCAAATGAGCATTGCCGGTGTCCTTCTAAGTCCTGTCATCTGGACTCTTGTTCTCATGCACACAAGTAGATATGATGCAATGTACTACTTTTATGATGAAGCAGCACCTGTCTACATACTTAAATTTTCCTGCCAGAATTAACCAGATCCCGCAACTCTTATCTTTCCTATTATATAAACAGCACTCCTGTCCCTGCCACCACTACCTCTCATCAGTTATATGTATCAATGTTAGACTTGTGAAAAGAATGTCACAGAGATGCCCGCAGTGTTTGAAAGAGCAATCTTTAAACTTACGTGTGTTTTTTGAACATTTATTTAAAAGGTCACTTTATCAGCTAAGTAAAAATTGGAGGAAAATAAAAGTCACCGTGATATGTAAACAATGCACTTAGTGGTGACATTAATGGAAATATTTTTTTATGAAATGTACACAGGTCTACTTTTTTAATGCCTCAAACATTTTTATTTAAAGTGCTTTTTAAAGTATATAGGTAAATGAATGCTTCCAGTTTCTGCTACCAGTGAACCAGAAAATAAGATGCTATTTCCAATTCATTTTGTGCATTATTTGTATGGATGATTGAAGTTTTAGGAAATTAAAATGTTTAATAAGCAAAGATTCATTTTGTAGTTTATAAATAAATGACTATTTAGTTTTTAATTAGAACTTAAGTATATTTCTAACCTACATTTGTACAGATATGTGTCTTTATACAAATATGGTTCATAGTAAATTATATGTGTATTTTAAACCACTTTCTGCTTTGAAATGGTTTTAAACCTAGTAATAATACAAAAATATTATCGTTAACTTCATTTTAGCATTAAATAAGAGAGAAATATTTTAGGAGGCATATGAAATAAAACAACACTGAGGTAAGGATAAAGGAGATGATGGATCACAATATTCACTTTAACATTTCACTTCCCTTTTCTCAAATCCAATGTAGAAACAAGTTCAAAAGGAATTTGTACACACAAAGAAAATTGGCACTTAATAGAATATCTCTATTCATTTCAGTTTTGTAGAAACCTAAGTGAACCTATTTAAAAATCCCATTCCTGGGTCTATTTGGAAAGATCTAAACTTATCTTTATTTAACCTAACTTGCAGTTTCTATTTTTCTTCCAAGTCTTTCATCAAGAATAAGTTTTTAAAGATTTGTGAGGTGATAAGTGTATGTCACGTAGATCTATTTGCTTATAACACCTAGTCAATCATCGAAGTGATCCATCAAAATTTATAGGTTCAAAATCCTCTTGTAAGCTGTGCTGAGCATTATTCACTGAATGCTAATGGATTATTTGGAAACCGCTGCAACCACAATGATTAAACAAATCCAATGTGGCTTGCACTGGTTTCTTCGCTACTCTACTGAATCCACCTTAATTTAGGCCCCAAAGCCCAAGGTTGGAGGCTATTGTCCAAATGTGGCATGTTCAGAGTATTTCACATTGCCTCTGCATTTCCCTGTCACTAGACCCTCGCTCCAGCTCTCCATTCAAGATGAACAGATTCCCTGAGAGCCGTCCAAAGCTGCCCCAGCACACCCGATTCTGATACTGAGCTCAGCATGTTGGGAATATCCTGTCCCTCTCCGCATCTTTTCAGTCTGCTTCTATTTCGTCTCCATTTAAGGCTGCTGTCAGATGTTAGTTGTCAATGTTGCTTTCCCTTCTCACAAATCTGTTCTTGATTGGCCTAACAAGAATGATCTATTTTTCATACAAACTTCTGTTCTTTCAGCTCTTTCAGTCAACCTTCTCTGATAGCTTTGGTGACTGCCTCTCTCTTGTTAGAGGCTAAGCTGCTGACTGGCAGCAGTTAATTCTTTTCTATGGTGAACTATCCTCTGATGACCCTTTCCATAATAGGGCCTTAACTAATGCTGAGAGAATAAATAAACAAACAAAGTGAAAAGAAGCTCTTTATTTAGTTGAAAACTTTTACAGGAGATCCTGGTTTCATGTTGAAGAAGTCTAGATCAGTGTCTAAATTATCTTGACTATTACATATGTAGAAGTGCACATACATATATAATATACCTGCACATATGTACATATGTATATATGTATATGCAAGTTTCATGCAGCACATCTTAAGCAGGAAAAAGCTTTCTTTCCATTAGGGCTTTCTCTAAGGAAAATAGAGATCCTTGGAGACAATGAATTATTTCACTTATTTTGAGGATCTTTTCTAAGGAAACTGGTACTTTGAAGCAGTAAAGATGATATGACCATCTGTTTGGTTTTTTTCCTACCAACTCAGCTTAAAGAAAAATCTTGCTTCATTTTGGCTGAATCACTGACATCAATTTTAAGATAAAATAATTTGAAAAATTAATGATGTAAAGTTATTGATATTTTTACCACTATGGGTACATACTGAACAAATGTGATTAACAATTTAATTTTTAAAACTCAACAAAACACTGACAACTTAAATGTCAGAAAGCAGGCCTATTGTCTATATTGTAAGAAACCATGCTTGTGCTTAACCATGTTTAAAGAGGTGAGGCATGCAATATAATTCATGACTTATAGAGGCAATCTTTCAATTTTACTTTTTTTACTTTTCCTTCAGTCCTTCAACACAGTAATGACTGGCATTATTCTAGCACAGAAATAGACAATGAACTCAAAAGAAATAGTTCTCATGTGAATTTATTCAATGTAGAGTCCTTTTCTTACATGAAGTGTAAGTTTCAGAACTGAAGCCAGTGATTTTCCCTAAAATCCACTCTTCTGCTTGAGTTAGTACTTTTTTTCTAATAACCTCATTTCTTTTTGTTGGTTTAAAGCTACAGAATCACCAAGGAACTAAATATTTCTCATGGTAAGTATTTCAATACTGTTCTAACTATATAAATTAACTCCATATAACTTTGTAAACGTTAAAGCACTACACAAATATGTCTATCTTCTTAAAGTTTATTACTTACATCATTATGGACTAAGGATGCAAATTCACTTTGAGGCATTATATAACATTGTCCCGGCCTATTTTTCTCAACCTACCATGCCTCATTTTTTTTTGTAAAAATATCCCAATTTCATTCTGACTTAATGACTGTCCCAAAAAACTTCATCCATTTTGTCTTTTATATATTTGTTCAATATATTCTTCCCTACAAGATATTCCTTTTCTCTACCTTCCCTACACAACTATAAAATTTGTGACATTCTTTAAGAAATGTAGTAATCAATATAATTTTCCTCTAAAGTCTTAAGGAATTGTAAATGTTTGAAAATTCAACATTTTTTTCAAAATGTTGAAAAAAATCTGAGAAACCCATATTTCATCATTTTCTAAGGAATTCCCCTCATTCTGCTTCACCTTGTGTTAGTCTACTAGTCTCTTCACTCCCATGGAATGGGAAGGCTTATTTAGCATTGTTAGTGTAGATGTTGAGACTTTTTATTTGCTCATTAATATTTCCAGCTAAAAAATTTCCTCTGATTCCTGAATATGCTCTTTGAAGACTTTTATTAGAATATAGCAAGAGTGAGTAACCTGGTTTCCATATCACCTGGCAAACCAATGATAAGACCCAGTAAATGTCCCTGTTGCCTTCAACATGGGTTCCTCTGAATGGTCTTATAACCCCTCTGGATTTCTTTTAACTTTATACTTCCATTTCTACTTTTGTCCATCTCTATTTCTTCCATTTTGATTTTTTTTTCTCATTCTTGTACTTCTTCTACCCCCTTACTGTAGGCATATAGATATTTTTAACATACTGCTTAATCTCTGCTAATAGTACTCAAGGATTAAATATTTCTTACTTCTGGGATATACTATAAAGAATGATAAATGCGATTCTGAAATATTACAAGTCTCTAAGTTAAGCTCTATAGTTTGTTAGGGAAAAATAAAATTAAATGAATTAAAATCCATGTTTATCATGGAGTTTCCCTACGACCCAGCAATCCCACTCCTAGGTATCTACCCAAAAGACACAAAAGCACTGATTGAAAAAGATACCTGTACCCCCATGTTTATTGCTGCTTTATTTACAATTGGAAAAACATGGAAGCAGCCCAAATG